GTATTATGTTTCAATCCACACCAATGAGTCACGCTCTTTTTAATTTAGACTTAGTGTCGCGAATATCCGAGTTCGGACCTGTTTTGTATTAGTCTGGTTCTTTTTGAGAGGCAAGTTACCAGTGCAGTCACTGATACCTAGCCTGTGTATTAATAACCTAATACCTCTCGCTTTTTAGTTTTTCTTTCGTTTACCTAAGTCCTTAATAAAATGATACCCCTCCGGATTGGCACAAATAGGACCCTTCCGGACTGTCAGAATATAGACCCCTCCGGATTGGGACCCCTCGGAATTAGCAACTATAAGACCCCTCCGGATTCGGACCCCTCCGGTTTTGTGGAAAGTAGACCCTTCCGGGTTCGGACCCCTCTGACTTTGAAAAATTTCGACCCCTCCGGATTGGGAGCCCTTAGCTCTGTCAAAGTAGCTTTTTGTAGTTTTCTTAATTTCAGCTTATACCCCTCCGGATTCGTTCTGCGTTGCTTTTATGCTGTTTGAATTAACTGGGAAGGGTATAGGGTCCTTTCCTAGACACCTCCGGATTGAAGTTAAGGCACTTATTTGACAATTCACACTAACGGTGAAGAGTCTTATCACTTGCCTAATTTCGACTCTATTATGGTTGTCTTGTGCCTTCAGCCCTCCCTTTTTGTCTAGAACTGTCCTAAGTCACTTAGTTCAATCGCTATCAACTTTTGGTAGGGGTATAAGGGTTTTTCAGAAAAATTTATAAAACGTGAAGGGTGTACCCCTCCGGATTTGTGTAATTTGCTAAAAACAATCTCAAAAAATTTTCTCGCTCGTTTTTCCGAAAAATTTCTGATCCTATTAGTAAGCTCAGCTAATTTCTGATTTATTGGTACCAAGATCAACTCGATATGCTCAGTAGTTCCAAAGTTATTAACCAAAACGTCTTTTTTCCAAACACAAAAATTTTCTCTCTTATAGGTTCCGCCTAACTTTCTCCGCAAATCTGGTCCTTTCGACCTAAAAATTATTGATCTGAGCTCACAAGGCCTATACTCTTCTAGTTCAATGCAAAAGACCCGATCTAAAACGCTTTTGTAGAAAAAATTTGCGAAAAACTATGCTACCTGGACCCCTCCGGATTGATGAATCCACCAAATCAAACACGTTATGTTCGATTTCTCTGCAACCCGGAAGGCTTTCGGGTAGCGGGTTTTAAAACTCGTAGATTCACTAGTGGAAGTTGTCCGAACAACTATTTTTACTGTCCTAACTCAAAGATTTCAAAAAATTTTTTGATTTTATAGTGTTTCTTACTATCAAAAATGGGAAAATTGGTTTTTGGTACCAAACTAGTTCCAACCACTTCCGAACTAAAGTTAACCGGTTCTACTTATTACAATAGTGCAGTTACGATGTAACACACTAACTTAGCGCTTTTTTCCGTTTCAGAAAATATCGATATCTCAAAAATCGCGACTTGTGGGGGGATCAAAATATCGCTATTTTGACCCTAAAAACCGGTCTGTTTTCGTTGTTTTTCACTGAAAAACGATATAAGACTATTAATATAGGCTATATAAATAATAATATTAGTAATACTATACCCCTCCGGGTTTGTTTATTATCCGAATTAAGGTGCTTAACTCGGATATTCCCAGTTCGGTGAAGGGTCACTACAGTGCAGCACTGTCGAGCCCCCCACAGATTACTATCTTACTTTTTGTACCAAAAGGGATACAAAACTTGTTAACGATACCCAACAGTCGATTGTTGTTGTCGTTGAGCCCCTTCTTGTTGCTCCTTGAACTGCTTGCCGGATCGGTCTTCACCCAAGACCCTTCCGAATTGAGCGCAAATCAGCTGACCCTTCCGGATTGAGCGCAATTTATCATTAACGTGCTTAAATGCTCAAATAACCCTACAGTACAAGCCTCACAAACGGGCCACAAAATTGATCGTAACGATCCTGACTGATATAAATGCATGTAACAACAATATATCTATCAAAAACAAACGGGGGGGTTGAATCACATCTTGTCTGGGGGGATGATTTCTACTGATTTTTCTACTTTTTTACTGTTTTTGGTTTTTTCGGTTATTTTTTTTTGTTTTTCTTGGGTACTATACTACTTTTTGTTTGGTTTTACTTATATCTTTAAGTGTTTTTGGTCACCAACCACTCAGGGGACGAGGGGACGGCCGATCCCCCCACCCTTCCTGGTTCGTGAATTTTCGGTCTTAACTAGGTTAAAAAACTATTCACGGCAATTCGGAAGGCCTCCGCGTTCCGAACTACCCTTCCGCCCCGGCGGTTTAGGCCTATTAAGGGCGTTAATGTGAGCATCCGCTCGGCGCGGAGTGCTCGTTAACGGTTCTGCCGGTCATGATGTTAAAAAGAATAACACCCAGGAGCGCCATAAAAACATACATGTAACATTCGCCCGGAAGATACATATCGACGGATAACAAAACTAAGTCCTAAGACGACTGGCTAGCGTCTAAACAGAGCTTTGCATATTTTTCACCGTCTCTACCAAGCCAGTACTTTTCGGTGGTCTTTCTTACATCGGGTCGACAAAAACGTTACTGCTCTCCGGCTTCGACCAGAACGCTCAAATTAACTGAATTACATGCAAAAATAGTGAGCTCATGGCTGGGTCTCAGTATCCCCAGACCACGAGGTCACTCCTAAAATCAGGGCTACTACTTATCATATTACTATTGTTTTTGTTCAGTAGATAAAAATCATCATCTCCATCGAAGATGGATCAACCCTTTCCCCCAACTCCTAGCTTCTCATCCTTATCAAAATGAATCCAGTTGTTAATTAAATTCAATTCAGGACATGACAAGAAGCTAAAAGTTTATATAAAAGGCTAAAAGTTCCAGTCCCGAAACCCTTCCGGATTCTTGAATCCAGTGAATCAAGCTCCTTAAGTTCAATTTCACGCCAATCCGGAAGGCTGGTTCTCACCCTTCACCGTTGTTGGCAACGGCCTTGCAACTATTGTAGCAGCACAATAGTTGCAACTTGGAACGTTCTCTGCTATTGTAGTTAGTTGTCGTTTTTCTTCAATCTCGATTTTCGTTCTGTTCGCAATCGCAGATAAAGTTGTTCTGTTTTTTCACTCGTTTTCTGTTAAAATGGCCGTTTCAGCATTTCTCAGAAATGTGACGTCATCATTCGAATTTTTGAAAATTTAAAATACCAGAATATTCCAGCCCTTACCGTTTGGCTAAACGTTCCAATAACACCCTTAATTCTTAAAAACCACCAATCCGGAAGGCTTGCTGCTAAAATTCCGAATTCCGCAGAGATTGCATTTTTCACATTCTGGTCGAATGTGAAAAATGCAGTCTCTGCGGAATTCGGAATTCGCAATGTGAAAAATGCAATTCGCCAGTAGGGCAACATTTGAGAGAATGTGACAGGGATGGTAAGAGCGCTGAGCTTAAGTCTGAGATTATAGATCAATCAAGTAACATACAGAAACTCCTCACTCTGGAGGCCTTACATATTTGGAAAGAACGCCCCAGAATTAACACGCGCGAGGAGTTCAGGAGCAGGGAGCTGACATTAAAATTATAGTACATGTTTAAAAATGACTAAAAATTGCAATTTTTGAAAAAATAAACTGACATGTCAGTTTGGATAAAACATCAAATCGAAAAATTATGACTCAAGTAACAAAAAAGTATGGAAATTGTCATAATCGATGAAATAATGATTACGTAATAACAGATGTAAGAATGTGATTGGTTAAAAATTTCTAACATGTTCTTTTTGAATTTCATACATGATCTTTGATCATTTTATTGTAAATAAAAAATTTTATATCCTGACGATGCACAAAATGTGCGAAAACGTTTGAACTAACAATTTTAAAAAATTCTTATTCTAAAATTTAGTATGGTACCTGTATTTGGTGGTTTTTGATACCACCCACAGCTAATTTTCCTGCTTTTGTCAATACTAATTTGTAAATCAAAAAATGCCAAATTTCCGTTTGTGTTTGGTGGCTCTATTGTGAACTAAATTTGGATGTAGTAAGTTTGCAGCCCGTAGCACTTTTTCAGGATCACCCTTCACTGTTTTCACTATATCGTCAACGTAACGGAGAAATAACTTAGCTTGCTGCACTGACTTATTTTTCTCTCTTATTGCGATGCATTTTCTACAGTACCAGACGGTTTCACTTATATTTCGATACTCAATCTGATATAGCACCGCATTTTACGTGATACCAGTTCAAACAGCATTCACATTCTACACCTTTTGACCTGTACGTGACTTTCTTATTGTGCTCGAGACATATTCCGTTAAGATCTTTCTCGGGCAAAAACATTTCGGGAATATCCCTCGATAGTGCAGTTTCGTACTGCTTCAGACAAAGATTTGCAAAAATAACGGCAAGAAATGCCCCCATTGCCAAACCATCTCTCTGAATGTACCATGTTTCATTGCACATGAAATGGACTTGACTAACTGCCATGTTCAACAGTCTCTTCATGGTTTTCCTAGCAATTGATGGTGGTTCGCATTCTCAAAATATAACGCATTCTCAAATTATTTAGATGTAAAATTTTGTTACATTTTCAATTCCTTCTTTCGCGATTCGATAGATTTCAATTTAGAAGTCTCTAGGTGCTACACAAACTGACTGAAATGTTCTTGAATTGTTTGCTGATGTATTTATTTAACGCCCCTCCTAGTTGACCTTTTCCTTTTTCAATATTTAATGTTCGTTCGTGTACTCAATTTCAATGGTTCTGTCGCCCGGTGAAATGATGATGAACTAGTGTATTAACTTCAATTAGCATGATTATTTCTGGCCTCCTGATTTATTCTGAAAACAAACAGAAAAAAGATAAATAAAAAAATTCAAAAGTTGATGTGTAAAATTTTTCTACAATTTCTTTTGGGTTGACAAAAAGAATCAATGCAAGATATGTTATCATATTCTTTTCATATATTTCCAGATAAGAATAGTGGCTTGCGTAATCACCTAAAATTGATATTCATTGCACAGATCTTCTCAGCTGTGAAGTCTAAACAGAGAAAGAGGAAGACCAAAGCGCGACTGTTCACAATTGGACTTGGCAGTGATGTGGACCATGCGTTCCTCCAGCAGCTGGCTAGGCAAAACGACGGATCATCCTATGGAGTGGATGTGGGGGAGGAAAAACCGATGGCAGAGGAGATTAAAGGTGAGCGCAAGGCATTGAACGGATATATTGCTTTATTTTTATGGAAAACAAGAAAAAGTTATAGAACTTGGTGTTGGTGCTCGACTTCAAACGGTTTTATAGCAGTATTTAGAGAACCGCGTATTCAGACTCGTCAGTGTTTAGACAAAAATTGAATTAACCAATCAGAATAGAGAAAAAAATAAAAATCACTCAAGAACAAGGAATTATTATTAGACAAAACTTAAAACGATATTTTAGGCAGAACAAATTTAAGCCGACAGAAGGTTAATAGTTTGAGAAAGTTCATATTTTTTCAAAAGTTTTGACAAATGACTGCAACTCCCTCCCAATACATTTTCGATGACAAGTGACCCTCCAGATAAGAACTTTTCACTCGAATTATTTTTTCGTTCAATAACTGATATTTTTGTCTATTTTTCGGGGCTGGTTCGCCACGTGAAATTCTTCGTAATTGCATGCGAGAATCGATTTCTTGGGCACTTAATTTTTTCAGCAAATTCCAAAAATTTGGCCGAACGACCCCAACTTCTTTGTTCCATCTCATATTCCAATTTTCGCATTTGTTGGTAGTTCTCAGGGTAACATCCCTGTCAAAAACATTCCACATAACAAGGGGGACGTAACCACTTATCCAAAACTCAGTAATGTACTGAAAAACTTTTTCAAGATTTTGGTGTCGAGAAAAAATTTCCGATATTTCGGACTGATAATATTGGAAACACAATCAGCTCATCGACGGGTAAAAAAGACAAGCTGAATAGTCTACAAGCTATCAAGTGCAGGGTCGGATCATTTTTATATTCTCTCGAAAATCCGAGCTCCTGAAATTTTCGGAAAATACACTGGGTATAGTCAAACCAACATCCGAGATGGCTAGTGACGTAAAACTTTTTTTGATTGCCGCAAGATCCCAGTTTCGAAATCAGCCAAAACATTTTCGGGCATTAACGGCCAATTACAAAAAAAATTGGAATTTCTGGGTCAAAATCTCGAAAAATTTTTGGTATGTTTCTTCACTTTTTCGCATGAGAAATGCCCAGAAGACCGGTACTTTCCAGTTTTCACTCTGTCCGAAAATTGTATAAATCTGTAAGAACGGTTGGGGGGGGGGCGTTTTGAACGTTCCATCCCCCAAAATATTTTTTGATCTTGCCAAAAATTCGAGTCCTTGAATTGTTGCAAATATTAGCATATCATTAGCATGCCTTGGAATCTGCCCATGCTATCTTTGTTGTTAGATGTTTTCGTCCATTGGTCGTTGAGATTTATTTCTGCAAAATTTTTGGGTATAGGGGGCAAATTTTTTTTTCGCGGGTTCGGCTCTTTGCTCTTCGTACTTAGTTGAATGCTGGCGGTAAATATTTTTCATCTGTTTCCTGCACTTGATTTTCGTAAATTGTTTTCAGGGTGACAACTGGGTTTTTAATTTTTTCGGTGATATTTTCCCTAAATTTTTGCTCCGACACGCGATTTTCTGGGGGCAAGTGGGGGTGAGTTGCAGGTTTATTAATAATTTTTTTATTTGAAATTTCGAGAGTTAATCGGGACGGGCAACTATCGATAACGCATATATAGTATTGAATATTTTCTCTTTTTCGGTTTTTCTTATATAAATAACCATCAAAGGGTAAGTTTTCCCCTCTGAAAGGGGCTTTCACGAAAGAAAATTCCATTATTTTGCGATAATTTATCGCCAACTTTCGGCCAATTGAGATGTTAATTTGTTAGTTTTCAATTTCTTGTTTATTTTGGCGATCAGATATTGATTCGTTTCGACCAATCAGAATTGAGTATTTATTTTGTCTTAATACTGACAAGTATGAATACGCCTTCATCTAAATACAGGCTGCACTCCACTTCAAACATAGTTTTTGAGGGCTTTTTATAAGCAAAACTGGGTACATATCGAATTTCGCGGCCAGTTTTTGGTATGTTTCACCGTTCAGGTTATTTAGTCTACTCAAATCGGATCTATTGCGACCAAAGCTTTGTGTATGTGGGATTTGGTGTATGTGGGAAAGGTGCCTAATTTTGCTCCAGTAATCGAATTTTCGTAGCTCTTCGTCTTCAGTTTTTCAGCCTAATTGTTGTGATAAACTTATTAAATAGATTAAATTTATGATGGCAAAGGGGGATCGCGAAAGAGTTCAAACTTCCGCCACTAATAAAGATGAACGTGTTATCACAAGACATGAAATAGCTTGCAGTGAGAAAATCAACAACAGTGAAGCATGCCCAGCGCGGCAGGTTAAAATTTAATCCGAAAACTGAAAGTTAAATTGCAGTTAATTGGAATGTTAAAAGTCCAATATCAATTAACTAGAACCCAAAATTAAATAGCAATTAATTGCAAGCCCGAAGCATCACGCTTGATTAACAACTTTTGACACGAGTTCGCTCTCTCAGTATTTTTTGTTGATTTTCCGAAATGAATTCTTTGAATAACAAAATTGCTGTCTGATGAATTATAAAATTTTATTTTCAGAGAAATGTGCGGGTAAAATTAATTGTGCGGATAAAATTATTTAGCTAGAGATAAAAACTTGCTAGAGCGCAATCAGTTAATACTAATTGGTCAGGAATAAAAATCAATTAATTGCACCAAAAATTTTCGATTAATTGCAATGAGAATTAGTTTTTGACCTGCCCTGATGCTCAGCCTGAATTCCAACTTTGGTGTCAATTCGAATCACAAAGGAACTCTTTGACAGAGACTTCCTGTGTGGTTTCTGCGCTTACCATGGGGTTGAACAGCTGAAAGTGGAAGTAAAGGATTTACGAAAGACTGACAATATTGCTCCTAATGTGAGGAAATCGAAAATTACAATAGACGAGAAAATTTGAAAATCTACGACTAGAATACAAGGAAGGTGAGACCAATGCGCAGCTGGAGCATAAGATAGTTGAAACCTGTGAGAACGAGCCTGCTGTAGATGTGAAGAATAGTGACATTTCTGTATGCCATAGACTAGCAAAAAAGAGAAGAAAGGTAAAACAAGCCATTCTGTATTCTAAATCAAAACTGAAAGAAAAAGGTATAGACGTTTTTAATTCTGAACACATAACTGACGCCAGAAATAAAACGCTTACGCAACTGAAAAAAAAAACAACCCTAATGTGTCACTTTTTGTTATTCGTGATGGAAACTTATATTGCTATATGAAAAATACACAGACTCAAAAATTGATTGTAAAATGTCTTTTCGATCTTCAAACTGTGTTTGGATGGCAACCGAAAATGATCAGAAATTTGTTTGAAAATATTGCTTTAATTGATTTTCCAATATTACCTCGAGCTCTGACAGTGGCCTCATTGTGTGCCTTCTTTTTAAATAAGGTGATGGAGAAACTAACCCAGGCCCTAATATCACCTATCAAAATTTTTGACTGTAACTGATAAGGACCGTAAAAATTTGAAACTTGTGCATCTAAACTTTCAATGTCTGCGAAGCAAACGCAGTCAACTGAAACTACTGGCTAATTACATGGGACCTAATGTCATTCTTGGTATTTCTGCAAACTGGTTACAAAACACCGATAACAAAAAGTTTTGGAATGTTATATCAACCTCGCATGAACTTTTCTGGTGTCATAGAAGCGAGGAAAATGTTAAGAAAACAGCAGGTGGTGTTATGCTTTTTGTACCATGGATATTAGCATTTCGCGAACGACGTGATTTGAATTTGTTCGATAAATCAAAGTTTGACTCCTTGTGGATTGAGTGTCCTACTAATTTCGCGAAAATTTCTAAGGATAAAATGCTAAATAATATTATTTATAATACCAAGAAGTCAATCCAAGCTCAGTTTCTCGAAGATTTGGCTCTCAATATAGACAATTCAATTTGAATAGCTAGCTCAATTACGATCGTGGGTGATCATAACATAAACTATCTAAATAATCGTGAAAAACAAAATATTTTTTACTGTAACTGTACCTTATGGACTCAGCAATGCCAGTCCTGAAGAAAAAACGCGAGTATGTAAATCTACAAGCAACAAGTTGGGCTACGTTTTTGGTTAACAGATTGCCCCAGAATGAAGTTTTGCACAAGATTGATACTTCTTAAAAAACTGATCATTCATTTTGAAAACGCTTGCTTATATTACGCACATAGCTAAGAGTGTTGAAAAACCAAAACTAAGACAAAACTGAAACGACGCCAACAATTGTTTTCGTCATTTGAAATTAATCCATTTCAAAGTAGCTGGTCTGCTTATAACACTTCAGTAACACTTCACGAAAAACAGTCAGTAAAATGATAAAAACAAAACAACCAGACTATACTAAGTCGTGTTTTAATGATTTAAAATCACTGAGTTCTCGTTGGATTTTCATTATTAAATTGAGATGCTCAGAAAGTGTATCAGCGAATTTTACTTTGAAAAACTCATTTTGAGATATTTTGACAACAAAAAAGGCATTGCCGATCATTTTATCTTAATTTTTTCAAATCTAGGTAATTTCTTTTGTTCTAAGTCAACTTCACCATCTGTATCAATTAATTTAATCAATATACCAGAGTTTAAGTTTCGTCCAATATCTCAAAAAGAATGTTTCGTTATAATAAAATAACTGAAGGGCAATAAGCCACAAGGGGCCGGCAAGCTTCCCTCATGGGCCATAATAGATGGTAATTCAATCATTATGCCACATTTGAACTTTGTCTTGAACCAATGTATCTTAAATTCGGTTTTTCCTGATGATATGAAAAATGCTTTTGTGACTCACATTTTTAAGAAAATTGATATTCTAGATCCTGAAATTTTTTGACCTGAATCAATTACGACAGCTTTTTCGAAAATCTATGAGAAAATTTTACATTTTAAATAACTGTGCATCTAAATCAATACAAATTTTTTAATTCTCCTATTAGGTTTCAGAAAAGGTTTCTCGACAAAAGATGCAGCTCTCTATTTTACTGAATCAACAAGGAATGAAGTTGCGGATAATGAAATAGTTTATGCTGTTCTATTTGCTCTTTCGAAAGCCTTCGAT